TTTTTTTTTTTTTTTTCTAAAAAGGGGACAATAGTCGTCCTGTACTCTCTAATAGAGATAAAGTGGAGTATCATGTTTTGAAAGGTACCCAGTGTGCTCCTGTGCTGATTCTCTGTGGCTTATTGAGTCCCACAAAGTAGATTCCAATCTGATATATGCTAAGTTCATATCATAGGAATTGAGTTAAAGTTCCATTAGTAAGAGGCACTAGGATGTCTTTCACCTGGGAGTTGTATAAAGCGAAGAAAGCAGATCAAGTAAACAGCCCTTCTGTTGAGTCCTTTAGGGACATTCGTTGCTATAAATGACTGGAGAAGATTATATAATTCATAAAGCCATCAAACTTGTTAATACCCATTCCTAGAACTATGAAATTCAAAGGGACTTTGAAAGGTCACTTAGTCCTTCTAACCAGCTCTGACCAAAAAACTAAAATAAAATAATTGCCGACTCCTATAAAGTCCTTCTGGTTTTTAGAGACTTTCTGAAAGGAGGTTTCACAATCTCCCTCAGAAATACAGTTGGATTTTTTAACAACCCTCATTGTATAAAAGGTCATTTTAATATCTAGCCAGAGTTCCAATTGCTGTAATAAAAGGCCATGTCCTCCTTTTCAGTCATTGCTAGAGATGGGGAAGGGTTGGTTACCAGCTCCTTCATAAATTAATGGTCACTGAGCACCTACTGCGGACCTGTTCTCTTCTTATAGCAACGCGTTTATGCATTAGGATCACGAAGAAGCACTTTACAGCAACCCTTTTCCAGGCCCAGTGAACACATAAACATGTCCTCTCCAGGGTCCTAGTTTCCTACTCTCTATTAATCTCTGCAACCTTTCTCTGCAGATCATCTGCACTCCTCCCAGCAGTGAGCACATTCCTCAGTAGTTTCTGACAAATTCAGAATACAAGAGACTTCTCATTCACTTCTTTGGGTGGTTTTGTTTTGTTTATGGCGGTAGATTTCTGCGCAGCAAATTTTTTTTCTACTATGTGTTGAATCCTTCTAGGATTTGCCTGAAGCTTTTGTGACTCTATCATAGAGGAAAATAGGGATGAAGAAAATAGGGAAGACATCTCACATATTAACATGGAAAGCCTTGTTTATGAAATAGAAAGTCAGAGAAAAGTATCCCATAGCCATGAAAAGAAACAGAATAGCCTGATCTGTCAATATATTTGTTCAAAATCACCTGAAGCAAACAAATCAGTAGTGGTGTGTATACCTGAGAAAACTGATGGTTATAACATACAGGTGTGCAAATGTAAATGAAGGAGAACCCTTACAGCAGGATTTCTAAAACCATCCTGAGACCATGGTTTCTATATTATTTCTGTCCTCACAGTTTGAGGCCAGGCAAGCAGCCGATGCATACCTGTGCACAATGATTTGCAAGATTTTGTGGAAAATTATAGAGCTGGTACTGCTTTTAAAGAGCTTCAAGTAGTTAGGGAGAACCAACTCACTGTAATTCAGATAATTAATAATAAAGCCTACAATCCAAAGTGAGTTATAGGAACCCCAAGTGAACAAGAGTTCTGAAGACTGTGAGTTGATAGTATTTGCTGGACTGGCCAGAACAGAGCAACCCTGGGGGAGAGGGACCTTAGGCTCACACTTGACAGATAGATGCCTAGTGGGGTGGAGGCTGGTGGATTGAACCAACCTCCACCTAGGGCCTTTATCTTGCAGGCATCCACCTGGCAGTCTTATTAATTACAATTGAATTTGGGATGGATGACAGTGTATCAAAGAGTTAAAAGCAGGAACACTAGGAGACAGAGAAAGCTATCAAGCCCTGGGGAGGGACCATGGGGTCCAGTCTAGTTGGTGGAGCAATTCTTCTATGTATGAATGACAGTGGTTCTCTCCAGCCAGTCTGACATTCTTCTAACATGAGTCCAGTGTGTATTTACATACATGTATGCATGCACATGATAACTCCACACAGGCACTATCTGTGTGCCCCCTCACACACACACTCACGTACCTTGTTCTCCCTTCTTTCCTGAACCTGGCAAAGAAAATGTGGAACAAAACCTCAAGCCCTTCTTGGGACCAGTTCTGAGCACACACAGAAAAGAACTGTTCCAATTTTTATGCACATGCAGAAATTTTTAAAGGGAAAGCCACACTACAATTAAAGAAAGACAGACTAGCAAAGAGTAGGGCCAAGGCAGGAAAGGAGCAGAAAAGAATGAGGTGAAGTGCAAGCAGGTAGATAGAGATGAGAAGAAAGACAAGAGAAAGAAGAAAGAAGCACAGTGATTCAACTTGAGAAGAACTTGAGCTGTGGGTAAGGATGTTGGATTTCATCTCTTGAGATATGAAATATGGCTTTGGGTACTTGTATACACCTCCACAGCTATACCTGGAATGCCAGGGTCTCATCACCATCTGACTTTTAGACAAGAAATGACTGAGACTGTGGACCATGTGTGAATTCATCCATGCATCCTTATTTCTATTACGTTGTCGGGCCTCAACAAATGTTTGTTGAATGAATGAAATTATTATGCCCTGAACTTTGTAATTCCCACAACAGAATATTCTTGTAAAATCAATCAATACTTTGTGTACCTTTCTACAGAAATCCCTCTCCACGGGCTCCTGGCTTTTCCCAGGGTCAGAGGAGCCTCGTGGGGAGCCAGCACACACCATGCAGATCTCTCTCCCTTCTTTCCCTAACCTACCCCCAAAGTCTCTCTACTCATTTTTTAAATTTTATCATTTAGCATCTCATTCTCTGGACTTAAGTCAAATAGATTCTGCAAATTTTCCTGGGAGAGGAAGCACAGTGAATCTTATCAAACATTTATAGTTCAGTGCAAAGGCATAGGTAGGGTCTTTTCCTAAAAATAGGGCTTATATCTGGAGAGAGAATGAGAATTCTGGTTACCTGAGTAGCAAGAGAATGGCTGTGTAAGGACAAAATGGAAATCCCAGGGGAACTGTGACAACATACTCCTGCTCCTGCATTCTGTCTCATTATGTCCCTGCCCAGTGATATCCATTTTCAGCTTGGGCATTTTGCCCAGGTCACCCTCCTTGCTTCGGGTCCTTCGTGTTTTAATACCTTGGAAGCTAAAGGTGTCTTTGTCTCTGCTTTGCCTGCTCAGCAGTGAAGCAGCTGCATTCCGTGCACTGCCAGGCTGCTTCTCTGCACCTGCACATTTGCTGAGCAGGTGTGTTCTCCCTAAATACACCTTTTAAGGTGGTAGTGTCATCAGTCAGCAGTGCCCAAGGAACCAGAGGGAAGGGAAGAAAAAGGCTAGTTGGTTTGAATCCACAGTTCCCTCCCTGACCTGCTATTCTGGCCTGATGCTTTTATTGTGTCCTGTGTCCTCATGCTCTGGGTATATTTATTCTCTCTGTGGAATTTCATTGAGTAGTAGTTGATGGGGACTCAAGCAGACTGATGGGTACCTTCCGTCTCCCTCCAAATGACATAGGCAGACTTAGGAATTCCAGGGTGGACATTACTCAACATGCCTGTGTTTCTGGGTGATCAGAGAAGTAGGTCTCCATCCCTATCCCTCCCATTTGGGCCATCATGAAATTGGAACCAAGGTCCAAGTACCTACCATGCTGTTCTAGTTATTAGCTATGTTTGCTAAACCTCTGACCTTTTAGATACTATTATTTTTAACAGTTGTGCTTTCCCCTGCAAGTTATTTTTATGTGTTTACTGCCCTATTACTGAACTGGTTCTGCTCGATTTCCTTATTCACTCTTTAATTTGGGAGCACCTTATTTTACAGTCCACTAACTTTGTTGAAAATAAATTCACTTTACTTTTGTGGTTAGTGTTACTCATTTGATAACATAAGTGCCACATTAGGGTTTGGCGAATGCATAGTAAGTGCCATGCAATTACACGGTAAATATATGATGGGTTTATTTCATCTTCATCCTCTGGGCCCAACACAGGGTGACATAGTAATTACTTTGGTACCCATTAAGTGTACTTACCTCATAATCGGTGGGAAGATTAATTATGTAGGTAGCTCTTGCCACCTTCCATTTCCACACAATTTCTGAGGTTCCACCTCTTTTAGGATTATGTTGTTGCAAATAAATCTATGCTGAATCCACCGCTATGAATCCATTCCAGGGATGAACCATACCCAGGGCACATCTTGTAAAGGTTGAAAAGCATTGGCAGCACATTCTGGGGGTGGTGGGGAGACACCCACATTCTAAATCCAAACTAACGCTTTTATTTTTGCTTTGCCCATGCATTCAATAGGATGGAGTAGGAGAGGTATGGGAGAAACAGCATGTGCCTTCTTAGAGACCAGTCTGCTTCCACAATGAAGTGTTAGCAGCTAGCATTTAATTGGTGTCAGAGATTATTTACATGGACATAGAACCCCTGGAACCAAGACTTTCATCTCTCATAATGATTGTGTATCCCTAAACTGAGGTCATCAGTGTTCTCTGAATCTGAATGATTTGTAACAAAGCTAAAATTAATATTTGTGAACTCTGGTCCTCTGTTTCTTGACTCACAGATCATATGTTAGCTTCTTACCTTAGACCCTTCTCCATAAATGCATGTGCCCCAAGTCATGTATAAGCAGAATAGTCACCCATTTATTTCTGTCATTTGTATGAGTCTGTCCTCCCTCAAATAAAAATAAGATAGAAAAAGCATTTTGCAGGTAAATATGACTTCCTAAAATAAGTTAAGGAGTTGTCTGCATTCACTATAAAAATATTATGTTCTTTGCAAAATTGATTCTCTGCAAGAGTCTATTACATGGTAAGCTACCTTAATGCAGTTAAGATATTTGACTAGCATCACTTTGATTTATACAAGGCATTTCAGAAACATGATTACTGTGTGAATGAAAGTACAACTTGTGTGGCTAGCTACATATGTCATTTTCTCTGAGCAGTGGCTCCAAAAATTCAATAGCATTTCATTTTGCATCCCAGCGTGGCTCATTGGCTCTGCACCTACGTTGGCCACTTAAGGTCTCTCTTGTGTCTTTCAGGCATCGAGAATGCCAGCGACATTGCCCTGTACTCAGGCCTGGGTGCTGCAGTTGTGGCCGTTGCAGTCCTGGTCATTGGTGTCACCCTGTATAGACGGAGCCAGAGTGACTATGGCGTGGACGTCATTGACTCTTCTGCATTGACAGGTGGCTTCCAGACCTTCAACTTCAAAACAGTCCGTCAAGGTCAGCGGCGCAGGTCCCCTAATACCTCGCCCTCAGGGCCATAGACTACACTCCCACAGGGCCCCCAGTGTTCTCCTTGGCCCTGTGTGAAGGTAGCTGTTGGCACTGGGAGCCGCTACCAGGCTTGACAGGACACCAGGCTTGACAGGGAGGTCTGCTTAGGTCCTCAGCATCAGTGAGAACAAATGGATCTCAGTTCATCATTAGCAACATTTATAAATGAGGCAATTCCATTTTTGATATATAGTGAGTTTAATGAGTTATTTTACCTCAAATTATCTAACTTTCTCCACTAAGAAGCCTGATTGGAGGATATAATTTAATTTAGTTAACTAAAATACTATACTATTACTCCAGGCTGAGGACCAAGCCCTAGACCACAACCTCCCTGGCATATTTATTATACTATATATTTTTCTTCTGTTTTAAGTAAGTAAGAAGATCACAGAAGATATAGGATGGGTCAGTTAGCAAGGGACACAAACTAAATACCAGCCGAAATGACTTTCAGCTCTTGCCTAGTCCAACAACTCTTTTGTTGTGGGGGAAGGAACATCTAGCATGCCAAACATACCAATACTACCTTTCAAAATAAAGTCAGTTAATTCCCTTTTATGAACCAAATATTTTGCTTACTGTGAGGTGAGGATGAGACATATGTGGCTTTTGTTTTAGAGAAAATGGAACTGTCACTCTTCAGAAGACGACGTTTTCAATCTTGACCCTTGATACATGTGGTACTGTGTATCAGTACCACATATGACCCAGGTTGCAAAGTCTCAGTGTTTAGCATTTATTGAGGAGACAGCTGCTCAAAGGGAAACCCAAACTTGCTAGAAAAAAAAAAAAAAAAACAATTGAGAAATGGCCAAAGAGTCGAGTTACTCCTCTTGCCATTTATATTTGAACACCTCAGTGTTAGGCCTCTGATAAGAATGCATCCCCTAGATTTGGATATATTGTTTACTATATATGTATGATTTAATTAAAAATGCAGCTAGTGAAGAATTAATTTTTGTACTACATCAGAAACTAGAAATATATTTCCATCAAATAATGTCAGTATCTTAGACCATAACACTTAATGAATTTAGAGGAAATACATTTATGTGAGAGTTTTATGTATAAATCCTCAGTCTTTAAAATCAGATTTGAGCTGGGCATGGAAGCACATGTCTGTAATCCCAGTGGCTTGGGAGACTGAGGCAGGAGGATCACAAATTAAAAGCCAGCCTCAGCAATTTATAGAGGCCCTAAATAACTCAGAGAGATCCTGTCTCAAAATAAATGATAAAAAGGGCTGGGGATGTGGCTCAGTGCCTCTGGGTTCAGTCCCTGTTGTATACAGATAAATAAATAAATAAAGTAATTAAGTCAGATTTGAGTCTAAAACTGCTTTGCAACCTAGTCATTTATCTCGAGTCTCAATTTTGATAGCTGTGAAATGCGGATAGTAACATCCACCTCATAGTGTTCTTGTGAGGATAAAATTGTTTAGAATAACCCATATAATCCCTTGGTGCATGGATGGCAAGTGCTCATAAATGGAGTGAACATGGTTCTGGAAGATGATACTTTCAGTACAGGCTGCCATCCTGCTTCATGAGCACCAAGTGAAAATGCCGTTGCCTAGTCTGTGCACATTTGGGGAGGAAAGGGAATTTTGTATTGTCATTCTCTAAATGAATACATTACCTTGCCAAATTGTCTGACCACCTTGTTTACTTTTGATCAAGGATCTCACTAAACTAATGATATAGGAAAGAATCCTTTGGTAGCTGCTACTATCCCTATATTCCTTGTGATGATACACCTCATATGCATAGTATGTGGCTTTCACCTGCAGTGTCTTAGGCATATCTGTTCTTGAACAATATATCTGGTGCTGCAGAAAGGGAAACAATGAGACTGTTAATGCCCTGGGGTGCAGCTCAGTGGTAGAGCACCTGCCTGCCTTGCACAAGGCCCAGGTTTCAGTTCCCAGCCCCATAAAATAGAATGTTATGCTTATAGTAGACTAAGAACTTGAAAATAGATTTTCAAAGAGTAGATTGAAGTCTGATCAGGGCCAATCACTCACCCCTGCCCATCCCAACTTCATTCTTTAACTGTGCCCATTCTTCAACTGTGGACCGTGTCATATGTATATGCTTTTTTTTTTTTTTTCCAGGGCTGGGGATGGAACCCAAGACCTCGTGCATGCTAGGCAAGCACTCTGTCACTGAGCTACATCCCCTGCCCTGTACGTACCTTTATTATCAAGCATTCTCCACGTCTGTGCTACCTAATTCTAGGAAATATTTTTCATTTGTTTGCTTCACATGAGCTCAGAGAGTCTTTCAAGAATAACCAAAACTTAAGTTTCAGTAGGTGAGGGCTTGGTAAACTTGGACATATAATTCTTGAAGTCTCCATGGAAACGTCAGTTCCCAACTCTTTTCAGACATGGGATCATTCCACAGTCCCATTTCTTGCCTGGGGAGACCATAAACAAGAACATGGTTCCTAAGCTATAGAACTCAATGTGGTTCTGTTACAAAACACAGAGACTTGATTGGCCTTTGTCTTGTCACAGTAGCTCCAAGCTTGGAAGAAATACACCACAAGGAGACATTAGATCTTGCAGCATTATTTCATCTCATTTGTACATTTTCTCTGTGATTTTGCAGTCTTAGAGCATCCGAATAAGAGGTGGTAAAAGTCAGGGTTATAGATTTCCTGCTGGCATTGTTACAAATTATGAAAATTACAATATGGCCTAGAATTGCAACATTTTCAAAAATACCATACTTTAAACATTTCTGTCAGGCCCCAAAGGAAAATTGTTTAATATGGTTTGGGTTTCAATTTGAGATGTCACATTGACGGACTGATATGGGTGGGAGGTTTGGGACTGAGGGTTATTTTGTTATTTACTAATAAACGAGATTACTTCATCACAAAAAAATATCACAGCATTTCTTTTTAATATTTGGCTTAGAAAAAATTGGTGCTCCCCAACAGATGACAAAGTCCAATTTCTCATGCTTTTGTAAAGATTGTTTTTTTTTTTTTCATTTGTTTTCAGACAGAAAGGAGACTGTTCTGAGCTGCTCCCCACATAGAATCTGAGTTGCTTTTTGTCCCCATATGGAGTATTGTTTTCCTCTCGGTGACATATGCAATGTTCAAGTGAATTGGCTACTGAGACATGAAGCGATTCATGAGGTCCCCTGAACCATTTGCTCTGAGGACACATCATGTCCTCCTGCAGCTCCAGAAAGTGCCCAGAATTCCACGAAAAATGTGCTGAAACCAGGCAGCTTCATTATAAACGGCACTACCTAGTCACCAAGCTGTGTCATCTCTTGCCATTTAAAATGAACAGATGTTATTTTTCTCTGAACTGGATTGCAAAACATCTTTTTTTTTTTTTTTTAGCTCTTCTTTGCCAGTTAAAATCACATGAACAACAATACCTGAGCTACTTGCCAGAGTGCCAGAAATATTTGTTTTCCAAATCAAGCATGTAAAGATCTCAGAAGGTGAAGGATTTAGTCTGGCAGCATTGAAAGAGTGGACTGGAAGTAGGGCCAGAGTTTCAAGGTGTTGGTCACTAAGAACCAACCTGTTGTGGCCACTCTGCTTTCTCAGGGTGGGCCTGCAGTTAGAGAAGGCAGCTGTAAAAGGGTAATGGAGGTATCGTAGTTTCTGAGTGACAGATCAGTATATATATATTTTTTAACCAGGTAACTCCCTGCTCCTGAATTCTGCCATGCAACCAGACCTGACAGTGAGCCGAACATACAGTGGTCCCATCTGTCTACAGGACCCGCTGGACAAGGAACTCATGACAGAGTCCTCCCTCTTCAACCCTTTGTCGGACATCAAAGTCAAAGTGCAGAGCTCATTCATGGTTTCTCTGGGAGTGTCAGAGAGAGCCGAGTACCACGGCAAGAATCACTCTGGGACATTTCCCCATGGAAACAACCGCAGCTTTAGTACAATGCATCCCCGAAATAAAACGCCATACATCCAAAATCTGTCATCACTCCCCACAAGGACAGAACTGAGGACAACTGGTGTCTTTGGCCATTTAGGAGGGCGCCTAGTAATGCCAAATACAGGTGGGTGGTAAGTGTGTGCCTGTGTACTTTCCAGAGTTTGTTTAAATACTTCGTATAATTATATCGTGTCAAATTCATTTTATGATGTTTATCATCCCTTTGTCAGAACAGAAATGCCACCACTCTACTGGTCTATTTGATTTACACAGCACACCAGGACCAAGGCTAAGATTAGGCTTTGTGGTTGTTATCTCAGAATGTTTTAAATGCCTGTTAGAGTTGGTAGCCATATTAGCTGAAAGTGTCTAGGTAGTCCCCTGGGTTTAAGCCCCTTTGAAATATGTTACCTAGGGCATGATCAGGTAGCCCCAAAATTATTCTTTGGCATGACCACAACAAGTACCATGTTTATAGCTTTGCATGGCTTATATGCTAATAGATAATTTAATGCAATGACAGTCTCATTTCATCAGCAAATGACCTAATAAACACACTCAGTGTTCATAGACCTTGCTAAGCATGTTACTTCATGATGAGCGATGATGAATAGTCATTGCAAAGCTGCTCCTTTGAATTGCCACTTCAGTTCCTGGGCTATGTTGTAAGCACAATTTATTTCCAAGTATTTTCTTTCTTTCTTTGGGTTGGAAGAGAGGAGATTTTCTTGATGTTTTGCAGGACACATAAGGTGCCCAGCTCGGCTCACTTTTAAAATGACGTCCTAACTGTGGATTAGTTTTTGGAGTTGCAGCCTGGGACTTAAGTGGGTGGCAGAATTTCACTTTGTCCCCTGAGTCCTAAGCAATGAGAATTGGGTAGTGTGCTGAGTCACAGGGTGTCTGGATGAGAGGGATGGGGCCATTGGATCTGCAAGCATCGTTAGATTAGCACAGATTCAAGGCTGTGGCAGGTTTCTCTCTAAAGTAAAGCTAACCAAAATTTTATCTCATAAAATGAAATCTGTACTAGGACTAGTCCAATATTATTGTTATAGCTAACTGACCTCTCTGACAGTTTACTAACTTGAAACTCAACTTTTCCTTAAGTTGATGAATGTTGACTTGTTCATTCTCTCCCAAATTAATTACTTTCTTTAAACGTCATTTCAAAATCTGTTTTACTTCTTTTAAATAACCCTCTAATGCCAACCTAATGATTATGTTTGGATAAAATTCCAATCCTCCATACCTTTCTTGGTTAGTGTTTTTGGACATGAAAGGATCTTGGTTGAAATATGTCTGAGCATCAGTGTATAAATGTTTGCATATGATGTCACTCTTCTTTTGATGACTCAATGTAGAGTGAATCAGTCAACCATATTTACCAAGTACTCTCTCTGTAAGGTTTCATAAGTTACAAGGGTGTGTTCTGGATGAAGAAATGTAAGACACATCCCCTACCCTCTCAAAGAACAAGATACACACATCATAACTCATACAAAGTCATGCATTGAATCATTCTGCTTTCACCTTATGTCCTCTTCCTAGCTCATGATTGGCATTGTCTCAGTAGTTATGAATTGAATAGGTTGGCCAGTCCTCCTCCTTTCTCTTCCCTTCATCATTTTATAGTGTGTGTATGTGTGTGTATGTACACATGTATCTTCTACACATATCGAAGGAATGCCCAGACCAACCCACTCATCAGCTATGTTTATTTTATGTTCATTAAAGAAAGTGAAGAGATTAAATCATGATGAACCAAAGAGCTTTCTTTTCCTCCCCCTCTGACTTAACAAAGACCCAAGTTGAAAACTAAGAACTCTGATAGCTCTGTGAAAGATTCCCACACACCTATTCTGTGAAAGGGGAATTTTCAAAGTTCTTGACAAGGAGCACTGAACAAGAGTCTATGAATGTGTTTGGGGAAAAATAAATGTGGGGAGTTGAAATATATCTCCTGTTATTTGCAGGATATAAATGAAAAATATGCCCTGGGGATAAAGAAAGCAACACATAGAAATCAGATTGTTCTAATGCCATCCATCCCAAATTGTCATATGGCACATGCTAGAAATGATTTATTATGCAAAATATGAAACAAGAAACTCAGACAGGTGGTTCTGTTGTCATATCAAATAAAAGGCTGTCAGAGTAGCAGGTGGAATTGGGGGGGAATATATTTTTCTTTGATCAGAGTTAACTAGTGAATGACATATTGAAAATGAATACTTCTTTAAGAAACCATAGGCATAAAACTTTCCCACAGTGCCTCTCATTCTTCATAATATATATAACTTGCCAACAATACTCCCTCCCTCTACAACCCTTGCCTTGATTGACTGTCTTCAGGCTCTGCATACAATTTGCATGTTTGGGTAGGAGGAAGGAAGTATGTTTGACAGATAATAATAATAATATAATTTCTGATTGAAGAAGAGAAAAAATAGTTTAAAGCTCCAATTATCCTGTAGATTCTGGTTGAATTTAGGAGTATCATGAATAATGTTTCAATCTAAACCCAGGGAATTAAGCTAACTTGAAAGAACAAAGACATGATGTGCTGCCTAATAGCCCCTTTTCAGATAGCTTCATTCATATTCTTTCTCTTTGGATCTGGAAGTAGATCATTAAGCCATGATGATCTACACCAGACAACAAGACTTACATCCTGGTGTTTTTACCAGGAATTTTGAATCCCCCTCTTTATTCATGTGTGTATGATCTGTTTAGTGTGTTGCTGCTCTATGCAAGGCATTCTGCTAAGTGTTGTTGATGTGATGTGGCATTATGAAGAGTAGGGGTTGCTTGTGTCTTTGTCATCGTGGGCTAGAGAGCCTGAAGGAAGGCAGCAGCAGAGAAAGTGCTACGTCAAACTAAGACAAGGCAGAATAACTAGGGCATGTTGAGGTCGACAGCCAAACACACCGAATATCCTCTGCATTGCAACTTGTGTTCAATAGCAGGAAAGGATATCATGGAGGCCCCTTCTTTTGGCAACTATGTTTAAGGAAAACTAGAAAATGCAAGGAGGCACCTTCCTGATTGGAGGTCCCTAAGTGTGTCAGTTAGAGTTCTCCTAATACTGATGTTAAGGTCCAGAATATAAATGGGTCTCCTTGCTGTAAGGCTGTGAGCAAGATTTAAATGTGCCTCATTCTTAGTGCTATTGAAAGATACTAATGATAACTAGCATGTTACTAATTATTGCTCATATATGGGAATCACAAATAACTTGTTTTGCAATGTCTTGCATTCCTCAACTGTATAGCTGCTAATACAGGCACGTAGAAGGCTAAGAAAAAAAAAAAAGTTGCCATCTCTAGATTTAAATTAGCAGCAGCAGCCTGAAAGCTTTTTGTGTGATTAACTCTAATGAAAGAGAGAAAAAAAAAAGATGAGGAGATGCATTATTCAAAAAACAGGATGCCCTGAGATTTTATTTTGTAAAGATTATACTATTACTCTATTTCATTTCTTTTTATAAACAAGAAACTACATTAAAAAGAATCTCAGCTCTCCCTAGACATCTCTCTTGGCCAAAGTGAAATATTTTCCTCACTGCATTCAAGAGAAGAGAGGGGACATTTAAAATGCAGTGTGATGTGACTTCCTATGCCTTTCCTCCTTGCATTATGTGATTTCGCTCATAATACTGCTGGGTTTTTTTGCAATTTCACATTAATATGAATGTGGTTAAGTCACTTTTAGCTTAACTCTTTTAGCTTCTGTTTGCAAATTTAGGACCATATTGGTTACACAATAACCTAAAAGGTTCCTCAGCTTTTATCAGATGCTTTTATTTTTCCTAGTTTTCTTGGCAAACTGCATAGGCCTCTGAGTACCACCTCATCTTGCTTCCTGATGCACAATTCATAACAGGTTCACGCAAATCTTAGCTCACCCATTATCCCAGGTACATTTCTAGAAGTGAGTGGATACAAACAAGATAAATACATTTTAAAATTTGGGAGCAGATCAACTGATGTATCAATATTCTCAGATATGTTTTATATATATAACTATACATATTTTATATATATGTATATGTATTATAGCAATATAAGTGTGTGTGTGTGTGTGTGTGTATATATATATAAACATTCCCAGATATGTTTGATGGTGCCTGGTTTTAGGACACCCAGTCTTTTATAGATAAATAATGTTGGAAAGATTTAAAATTTAGAAAAGAAACTGATTTTAATACTCAATGGAATAATATGCCCTTATCTATGTCACAATTATAAAACAATGGACTTTATAAACCTTCTAAGGATTAGAATTTCACAAATTGCCTTGAGAAGGCTCTTTGTTGTGGGTAGCTATAAGGTACTTAAGTGCTGTACTTTAAAACAATTGGAATACCTTGAATAACCTCTTGCATTTTTTGTCTTAGGGGTGAGTTTACTCATACCACATGGTGCCATTCCAGAGGAGAACTCTTGGGAGATTTATATGTCCATCAACCAAGGTGAACCCAGGTGAGAGACAGAGATAGATGTTATATTATTTTACTGTATGCATCTAGGAATATGTAACCACAAACTCCACTATTATGTATAATTATAGTGCATTAATTTTAAAAAGAGGGAAAAGAAAACAAGGAAAAATTTTAACAAAGTTGATAATGTAGATGGCAAATAAAAACATGAAAGATGTTTGGCATCATTTATTGGGGAAATGAAAAGAAAACTACAAGAAGATACCACTGAACTCCCACTTACATGGTCAAAATTAAAATGTCAGACCATACCAAATGATCTCAAGGTTGTGAAGGAAATACAACACTCTTACACTGCTGGTGGGAATGCAAAATGGTGTAACCACTTTGAAAAACAGTTTGATAGTGTCTCTAACAAGTTAAATATACACCTATCATATGATTCAACTATTCCACTCTTAGGTAGTTTCTCAAGAGAAATAACAGAACATGTCCATTCACGACTAAAGTACACATGTTTATAGCAGCTTTATTTGTAACAGATAAAACTGGAAACAAGGAAAATTTCTCTATGTAGGTGAGTTGATTATATTTATACAAGAGTATATTTATACAATGAGATACTAAGAATATTAAGGAACAAATTATGGATACAAACTAACCTCTAGTGATACAGACCAGATTGTGGTTACCTGGGGACCAAGGAGGCCAGGTAGAGGGAGGGATTATAAAGAGATAGGAAAGCTTTTGATGTTGGATATGTTCATAAACTTGATTCTGATGATGATTTCACAGATGTGTGGATGTGTGTGCATATGAGTGTAAGAAACTTCTTCAATTGCATATGTAATTATGTGTGGTTTATTTTATATCCATTTTACCTCAGAAAGAAATAAGAACAGTGTTCTAAAAGTAAATTTCTGGAAGGTGGTCACACAAGTCGAAAAATCACTGAAATAGACACTTAGGATATATGAACTTAAAGGTATTTAAAGTAGACTCAACAAAAGTTATTTAAAAAAAACAGACTATATGGAAACACACCTACATGTTAATAATTATTGGCTTAGGCTAGTACAATTACAGTGGAGTTTGTTGCTGTGTTCTTTATAAGTTTCCCTATTTTCAGGTTTTCCTAATTGGATATACCATTAAAATAAGAGGAAAAAAAAACAAGAACAACAACAACAACAAAAAAACACTAAGCACGATATTTTAAATATGAAATGGAAGTTCTTCTGAAAATTTGAAGTCAATAAGATGGAGATGTGTTGGTGAAATAGTGACCCACTTGGCCCTAGAGAGGGAAAAACTAGTTGCAGAAGCATAAACCGTTCATGAGTCTACATTTTAGGAGCAATGGTACGTAAGTAAGCATAGAGCACCATATGGCAAACAGTGAATTGGTAGGCAGACCATAAGCAGAACCCGCAAATGTTGATTGGCCAGGTGCTGTGGCACATGTCTGCAGTCCCAATGACCCTGGAGGCTTGAGGCAGGAGGATCATAAGTGCAAGGTAGCCTGAGCAACTTAGCGAGTCCCTCAAAATAAAAAATTTTAAAAAAGAAGACTGAGAGTTTAGCTCAATAATAAAGTGCCCCTGGGTTCAATCCCCCGCGCTGAAAATAAATAAGTAAATACAATAAAAAAATAGAGTTGTGGGAGGTACTCTTTGATGCCATCATCATTATGCAAATTCATACAGTGATTGATTCATGACCCTTTTAAGGTCAGCATAAGTCCTGCTCTACATAAACGGAAAGACAACTTCTTAGGCAGTATTCCTAACTGTAAAAAATATGGTCTAAACTCCAATAGCTTTCTGACAAATTTCAGCAGCATTAAATTCAATTACACGAACAAATACAAATCTTGTCTCATACTCTTAATGAAAGTAGTTGGTTATTTTCTTAGTGCAACTATAGTATTTGTAAAAATGTTGCCTTCCTCCACAGAAGATAAACCTAACTCCTCTTTAAAAAGCAATTTCTCTCATAAACTGGATATATATACCTCTGGCATTTTTAGTCATAACATCTTGGTTATTTTAGAATAGATATTTTTGTTATGATTGTTAGCAAAGAATACCTGAAAGAAAAAACACTGGAAAGAAAACAACCAGAGAAATAGATCGTTTAAACAGATTTCGATAGCTCTTTCTGTAAAAGGATTTGCAGGAGCCCAGCGGCCCCAGGTTCCTGCTCTCTGGGACTTGGGAGGAACGGAAGAAAGGTTTTGCAAGTGTGTTGTTGGTGAGGCTCTTTGAGGGGTGCGTGACTGGGCTGTGTTGGGCACTCCTGTTATTTTCTCAGTCCTGTTACATCTATATTCGTTTCCTATATGCCCCCAAAGCTGCTGGTGTCTAAATGATTCCATTAACGGGGAAAACTGGAGACTCACAGAGTTTTAAGTTTTCTCCAAATCTTAGGTGAGAGTTCAGCAAATTGAAAATTAGAGTTCATTGTGTAGAAGTCACCTCATTTTTATCCCTTGATTTGCTTAAAAAATCATACATGCCTGAAATTGAGATCCCGTTCTTTATACAATGTGTTTTTCAATACTCTGTCCTGCAAAACTCAAATGCTATCATCCCTCAGCATCCACAAGGCATTGGTTCCAGGACTTCCACGGATACTAAAACCTATAGGTGCTCAAGTCCCTCAGGTAAAATAGCATAATAGTTGCACATAACCTATACACATCTTCCTGTGTGTGCTTTAAATCATCTCTGTATTACTTATAATAACTAATATAACATGAATGCTATACAAACAGTTATACTATATTCTTTTAGTGAATAATATTCTTTGATCTGAGGTTGAATCTGCAGATAACAGAACCAAAATATATTGGAGGGTCAACTGTATAAGGTAGAATCCAGTCAGCCTTCCCTGAATTATGACCCCCCTATCAGGCCCTATCTCTGCATCCTCCTTCCTTCATTCTAATCCACATACTGAGCCTATGTCCAGCTCCTTCCATTCAGACTCACCCCCAGCGTCTTCTACCTTATTTCCTGAGAACCAACATAGAGCTCTTTCACATTTTTATAAGGCACCTAGTTTACAACCTCCCTTAACCCCTGTCTCTAAACTAGAGGCTGCTTCTTCCTAGGAAGTCAGAGCTGAAATGTTCCAACAGACATCAAATATCCAAGAGCTTAAATAAAATGTCCTGGAAGTGTTAGAAAGGAATGATCACTCGGGACATTCTGCAATTTTGAGAAATACCTATGAGCTTGGCAGAGCCCAAAGACATAAAGAGATAGCTTGGCCTCCTGGGGTCACTCTCCTGGCCGTCTTTAGCTTTGAAATTCCATGTTAACCAATATGGCTTATCCACCTCTATCTAGGGTTTGAGTCTATAACTGCTCTCTAGGAAGCTGGATAGAAGTTAGAACTTTAGATGAGGTGTACATTTTCTTAGAGTATGAAATTGTAGGAAGCACACATTCCCTTTTAGCTTACTGAAAGCTTCCCAGACATTGTCTCTTGAGGAAATGACCGTTCTCTGGGCTACAGGCCATTTAGCTTCCTTGGCAATCCTCATTCCCTTTTGAGTGGCACCAAAGTATTTACAAAAACACTAAAAATAGGAAATGCCTTCCTACTTCCCCCCCCCTCCCTTTTTTTTTTAATCTGGGATGAATTTTTTCCATCTGTGCCAAGAAGCTGCTTAGATCTATGTTCTTTAGCTTTTAATCTTGTGATTAATCAGGAAAAGGCCATTGTATCATCTTTTCTTTGTAATGTCACTGGAAACTCTATTTTCATTTCATGCTGTCCATCTGTCATCCTAAACTTTTCTTGGAGTGCACAGAGCTGGAATGCATTGCTCTGTTTCTTTCATCTTTGCCTCGAAAGCCACCACTTTTCCCTTGCTTTCATTTCATGGGTGTAAGAATTGGATTTGCTGACCCTCCATCACCTCCAACACGCAGAATACAGTAGGATTCCAAACAACATTTTTATGCTTCCAAGCAACATCTTTAAATTAAAGTCTGTTCCATTTTCCTCTTGACCACACATTTCTATTGCCCCTTTCTGAATTACATCCCTGGTGTGGCAAGGTAATGACTTATGGGAACTGTAACTGATACAATTAATTCCAATTCCATCCCTGATTCCCAGGGACATGGTTTTGTGGCATGAATCAAAGACACCAAACAACCCCCTGTATTCAAGTTATCTCGTGTGGCTATGTTTTCATATTTTGATAAGCTGTGAGACTGTTCTTTGTCTGCACTGAATGTACCCTCTCTCTCTTGGGAGATCCAACTTGTGTTCCTGGTGAGCCTCCAAAAGGACACTCTGTACTTTGCATTATGAAGAATGGTGTCACTTTCCCCTTCAACATTCCTGTGCCTTCTATATTTTCAAACTGGAAACAACTGCCATAATGAATCTTTCCAACTTCCTCCAGTAGTCTGCGCCTTTGGTCAGTGCTGTAGTTTGGATCTGAAATTCTCCTAAAGGTCTCAGGTGTTGAAGGCATGGTTATCAGCGTATGGGGCTATTGGAAGGTGGTGGAAACTTTAGGAGAGGGACCTAGTAGAAGGAAATTTGGTAACAGGCTGATCCCTAGAAGGGGATTTGGGGATCTAGCCCCTTCCTGTATTTCTCTTTGCTTCCTGACCGCCAGGAGGTGAGCAATTTCCTCTACTCCATGCTCTCACCATGATGCACTGTGCCTCCTCCACAGGCCCATCTAGCAACAGGACCAAGTAACCATCTTCTCAAACTATGAGCCAAAATAAACTTTCCCTCTTATACGTTAACCATCTCAGGCATTTTGTCACAGTGACAGAAAGCTGACTTATATAGCTAATTGTAATATTTAAGAAATTATTTCAGTTAAGTTTTTGTACATACATGTGAATAGTGTTTTGCTGAAAGCCATCTTTACATTCTTGAAAAAGTAATAAGTTACTTCACCTGTTTTCATATAATTTGTAAAGAAACCTCCTATACGTTAGATTTATTTAATCTCCACAATAATATTTTAAGGAAGAGAATTTTGTACCAAATTTTAGACCAAAA